ACATGTCGTTGAGCTATCATTGCTGTGGGGACTGGGGCTCTGTCCTGCTGGGCAGCCTCTGAGAAACTGCAGAATGCACCTCAGACTTTTCTGCCTTAAGTGCAGAAGTAGAGTAGTTTATCTATTGGCTCCTCTACCCATTGATTAAGATTGTCCATGGGGTTGCCTCCCTCGCTTTCAGGTTTGTCCAAATGTCAGATGACTAGTGAGTTTCTGTGGGTGGAGAGAAGCCCCAGGGAGGAAAGTGAGAGATACCAGCTACTGTCAAGTTAAGCCTGCATTCCTCTCTAAACTGTGCCATTTATTTATCATGTCACTTTCAGCTAAGGTCTTTATCTGGTGCAGCTGCTCAGTTCAAGGGTCAATTGCTCATAAAGCTATGGGCTGCCTGAAGAAAGCACAAATAATCTGGAGAGGAAACTAAAATTAGAGCAAATAAGATGGCCTTTGTCAGTAGTAGCTCCCCTTGATTCCCCATTTTTTTCCTGGCTGCCCTTGGTTTAGTAAACCAGGCACTGCATTACCACTTCACAAGATTACGTCTCTTGTTTAATCCTCATGAGATGGACTCTATTAATGTTCCCACTTGGGGGTTGGTTGGCAGAAGCAGATGTTGTGGATCAGCTACCTCAGTGCATCTATGATGTCAGAGGAGTGAGAAGCTTAGAAATTTGGTAAATCTGAAGATAGCAAGTGACCATTTTCACTAAGGCTTGGAAAAGGCCTAGCAAACCCCTACAACTCTGTTCCATGAAACTGCTTTATTTTTCTTCTGAGCATATTATTTATTGGTTTATCTATTTGCTTATTGTTGGTCTCCTGCCACTAGAATGTAGGCTCTATTGCATTGGGACTTTATCTGATTTGTTAGAATGATGCCTGAAACATAGTAGATCATCAATAAATATTTACTATTGAATGAAAAAGGAAAAATGAGCTTTGATTGCTGTGAGTGCAATGAAGTTTGTCCCACTTAAGAGCTTTTTGATAGTGACAGATACTGGTACAGGTAAGGAGCCAAGTCAAAAAATCTAAGGGAACAAGTGTAGATCTCAATCAGAAGCCCATAGAATCTGAAATCAGTGAAAAAAGAAGTGCAAAGAAAAAGAATGAAAAAGAAAAAGACTCATTCACAATTACCACATTTATCAATGTGTATTGGGCATTATCTGTTCTTGTACATAATAGAGGATGCAATGGGGATACAGTGTGATAAG